TCAGAATCGTGAAGCTCAAATTCACTTCCTCACCGGCTACTTCCCTGTCCCCCCCCCACCTCAAACGTCCACGCGCAGTGCGCGCAAAAAAACAAACCAAAAAAAAAAAACCCTACAGCCTCCCAGTCCCCTCCCTCCACCTCCACATGTTGCTCCTGAGGAAAAGCAGCTGAGAGCCAGAGCGGACACAGCAGGCAGGCGGGCGGCGAGGACACGGGCAGTGAGTCAGAGAGGAGAGCGCAGCAAGCATCCGACTCACACGGGCAGAGCCGAGACGACATGGAGCTGGGGGCTTGCAAGCTGCTGGTGACGGCTCTCCTTGTTCTCCTTGTTCTGGTACTCGACTTATTTGTTGTGTTTTTCTTCAGAACATTTCCTTTGCTGTTGCTATAAGATAACCCGCGAATCCTGTTTATGTCCGAATCGCATGAGTTGTTTTTTTTTTTGTTTTTTTTTGGGTGATTTTAGGGCTCTCTGTTACTTTACTCTGAGTCGTGCATGACAAAGGTTTCAGCAGATGTGTGCATATCGTATGTCTTTGAGACTAAAAAAAGGGAATAATTTGTATATTTACACAGTCTGCTGAAGAAGGCTCCAGAGTCGGGTTTCCTTTTCCTTGTTGCAGGAGTTTTCCATCTTCAAGGGAAAATGTACTTAGCCTCAGCTGTTGACAGGTGTCTTAAACAGAGTCTGCCTGTCACAGCTTAACACATAGCTTGGATATACAGTTCTGAACAAAAGCCTTCACTTACTTTGTATTTCCTTATATTTTGCCTCCAATGAGCCAGACTTTTCTTAAATACAGTGTTTAGAAGTGGTTGCAGTGGATAGTCCTTCAGGTTTTCTTTAGGTTTTTCTTTGGATTTTGGATTTAGGGTTAGGCCAAGAAAAACCAGTCTTCAAAGGAATCATTGTATGGTAAGTTTGTTAAGCCACGTAATATTTTTTATTTTTATTTTTTTGCTGAGTGGGGTGTTAATTTGGGCTCTTGTGGAACTGTGCAGAAATCCTCAGTCGCCCTTAAATCACTACTTGAATTTTCTTTCTCTTTCTTACCAAACAAGACGGTTAAATCAAGGATATGTTGTGGATTATTTTTGTTCCTCTTCTGCGTCCCACTTTTCAACATTCTACATGTTCTATGTTTAAAAAAAAAAAAGCCAAAATCTGATGAAAATCTTTTGCGAGACTTTTAGGAAGCCTAGAAAATGAAAAAGGTAATAAAGTAGCTAATAAGTCCAGTTTCTTGGATGGAAGATATTGATGTAAAATTTCTTAACACAGATGTGTCCCTCTTTGATTGTTGACACGTCATTTTAGAATAAAGCATGATGATGTAAAATCTTCTGTGCATTAACGTGTTTGCTAAATTAGTCTTGTACGTCTCGTGCATAAAAGCAAGTGACTAGAGGTCTGTCCTGGTTGTAAAGGTTCACCTGGCTGGTAAAAGTGACAGTGAAAAGTTTAGGCAGGCTCTAGGAGTGATTAGCAACCCTGAGGACCAAAGGGACTGCTCTCCAAAAAGTGAAGTCTTGTCCTCCTTTGTATCCACCAAGAACAATAGAAGCACAGTGAGCCAAACGACTCTTCATCTATTCCCTCCATCCTTCATCTGCTTCCCCTTCTCTCGCCTCACCGGCCTCGTCACGCCCCCGGACGAAGCTCTTCGTTTGTAATTGAGTGAAAAATTCCCTGATTGCCTTTCAAAGGAGACTTAAGGTGGTGAGGAAACGGGCTGGCCAGTGCACAGCCTGTGTTTATTTACCAAGATCCAAACATTAAAATAGTTGGCTCCCGGAGAAAGGGCCGCCGTTGCCTACATGTTTGCCTAAATGCTCTGCTGACTTTGTTTAGGTCTCGCCATCCGCCTCTGCTGTTCCTCAGGCGTCATCAGCGCTGACAAGCATTTATATCAGTCCCCATGCACTTTTTAATAATGTGAACCCCGCCACCTCGCTCTGTTTCTGGAGTGCAGGGTTGTTGTTGCTACCAGGACCCAAAGAAAATAACCAGCAGACTATTATTGCGTTGTATCTGCTTTCCTCTGCGAGATCCATTTATCCTCGTAGACGAAACACAGTGGCATTCTGTTGGAAAAGGGGCTCAAAGAGGTCGAAATGACTTCAACGTAAGAAATGTGCGTGAGAGCTGAAATACAGGTTCCACTTTCAGGTCAGCCAGTATAAATCATCTTAAGACCAAAGGGTGAACTCTTTTCCTTACAGATCAAGATGTGTGGCTTTATAGCTATTGTAACCTTTGCTCAGTTTAGTTATAATTCAGATGATCCTCTTTATATGCAGAAATATTTTTGTAATATTGACAGATTCCATGTCCATCCGTCCGTTGTCTATACCTGCTTATTCTTGATGCCTGTTTCCAGCAGCCATTGGGCGAGAGGCGGGGTACCAACCCATCACAAGGCAGCATGGAGACGCACAGGACAAACAGCTATTCACATTCATACCCCAAATAGAGCAGTTGAGCGCTAATCTAACCCTCATGGGTTTTGGGACTGTGGGAGGAACCCAGAGAACCTGGGAGAACCCAAGCATGCACAGGGAGAACATGCAAACGCCACGTAGAAAATCCAGGACCTCCTCGCTCGGCTCAAAAGCATTAACAACTATTAAAGACCCAGCTGATTGCATTTATTCACTGACTTTCTAACAGTCCTTCCGCCTAAACGAGAACCGTGGACGATTTGATTGTGTCATTAATTTTGCAGCATTCCCTGATACCGACCTGGTCCAGGAGTAAATGCATGAAATTTAATGAAAACATAGAGTTAATGATCCTTTAGTAGCTTCATCTAGAAGAGAAACGTAGCTAAAGACATAAACTCTGAGCCAATCCTAAAACCCATTCCATTAAATCAGTACACTCCAGGAAAGTGTCACAGCTAAAGAGCAACGCCAGGCTAGATGCAACTTCTATGAAGAGGAAAAAAACATTGAGAGACTGAAACTGCAGACAATGCATAATTTGAGAGTGGTTAGAGGAAACTTTATTAGTATGTTCTGGAGTCTCAAGCAGCATAAACAGCATTTACCTCAAGGGAGCTGGTTCCACAGGCGATGCGACTGAAGCCTAAAGGATCTGACTCCCCATAATATAGATATCGATTGTCATCAGAACTGCAAATTGGTGTTGGCATCAATGAATCTCTCCAGGAAACAGACACTGAACACAGAAGAATAAAGTCAGGGGTAATTTCTATGGGAGAGAAAAACAAACAGTTTATACAATTTCTTTGTCCTTTTTAGGACAGAGACGGAGGCACAGACCCAGGAGTATTTTAATGGGAAAAACTAAAAGCAAAAGCACTTTAATTTAAGAGTACTTTTCTATAAAAAAAAAAAAAAAAAGATTACAATGCCTCTGTCCTGGAAAGTGACTCTCCCAAACTCAGAAATACTGGACAAGGATTACTTTCTGCTGAAAAAAATAACAAAGCCGATACAGAAAGGTGTTAGCATTAGCATTAGCACTGACATCACAGTCAACGAGTCAGTCTAGAAAAGACACTCATTTAATCCTACGTTCACTGAGCCAGGAATACTTTCTGTGGGAAACAAATGGCAGCAATCTCTCCATCAGTGGCTTCATCCTTCAAGCGATGCAAATTGACTGCAAAAATTTGTAAATATAGCACAAAAAACCCGAAAATGGCTGTGAGATATAGCAGCATAAACGCAGCACAGAGAATGGTTTACCTCAACTACTATAACCTTTATCCAAAGGAAAGTTTTCGGCCTGTTAAAAGTAGACTGCGTGTGTGTGTGTCTCACACACACTAGCTGGGATCTAGTGATAATTAAAAGCTCTGCCTCCAATTCTTCTTGTTGGAAATCTAGGGACCACGTGTTTCTAGAATCGGAGGCACCTACCACCTCATGCTAGATTTGTGCCCTGTTCAACTGCTTTTTACGGGATTAATACCACTGGAAAATCCCCTCAGCATTTTACCATGTGGAAACATTTTAATGTGTTCCCGTGCTCTTTTTGACAGGCCGAAAACCACGACTCAGTGGCACTCTTTTTTTTATTCAGCGTGTTCTCACCTCCTGCCTACTGAGCCGTGTTCCTGTTGGCCTAGACTTGCTTAAGCCGAGTCTTTTTTCATAAATTCTTTCCAAGTGTTTAATCTGTCCACCTTGTGCACAGGCGGCCATATTCTCACGAAGCGAAAACACTCCTTGTCCTCGATAATGAAAGCAAACTACATACCCATTCGTCCAAAGCTTCACAGTTCGGCTTTCGAATAATGTAGCGCCGGAGTTTCCTTCCGTAATCTTGTAAAAGAACGCCAAGAAAGTAAACGATGGTGTTGTTTATATCCAACCGTAGATAATCCAGATTATTTTACAAATTCCCTGATTTTTTTTTAAAAGCATAAATGGTTAGTCCAGTTAAGGGCTGTGAGCGGAAAGTTGGAACGGGAAAAGATGGATAATACAGACGTGATCTGCTGTTTTTTGGCTGTCATTTCACATCCGAGACGTGCGCTTGTCCTCATAATATTGGTCTTGGGTGATGCTGCGGTATTCCTTACGCCACTGCCAAATAAAACGCAGTGCAATTAACAGAGAGACACAAAAGTGTGGCCTGAACTTTAGATGACAAAATAGTCATTTTTTATAAAGACTGACTTTGACTTTTTAAGTTTTTTTTTTCAGCAGCTAACGTGATTTAACCGAATCCTTTTTTTTTGAATTTTTTTTACCCCCCAGATTAAAATTTAATTCCCCCCCCCCCAAAAAAAAAAAAAAATCTACGAGAACCTTTCTGTTTTGCATCCTTTTATGAGACCGAGTCTTGGATCGACATTAAAATAAATTCAGAGGAGTGATGAGGGCTTCGTTAAGGACTTCTCTCACCAGGTCCTAAGCAGCTCAACAGTTTTAATTCTCGGAAAAAAAAAAAAAACGACTCTCCTCTTTATTTTCAGTGATGTTTCTGATGAGTCGCTCATGCACAAACTCTTCTCTGGTGTGCAGAGCTCACGGACGGCGCGATCGGAGGAAGATCGGGACACGCTGTGGGACGCCTGGGGCTCATGGAGCGAGTGCTCCCGTACGTGTGGCGGAGGAGCCTCATACTCATTAAGACGATGCCTGAGCTCCAGGTAGGGTTGCTTCTCTTGGTTTATGCTTTCCTAATCCAAATCTCTCATCCAGGGGAAAACATACCCCTAATCTAGGTACTTGATTCAAGTGGAAGTTAAATTATTCCTCAGAGAAATGGGTGAATCAACAAGGTAACCCTATTTTGATCTTAATCTTTGTGTTTTTAATATGTTTGTGTGCATTGTTTTTGGCAACTTCACGCGACAGACAATGGTTGAAAAATAGGTAGTTACGGGGCAACGTGAGATTATCCACTTTTGTTTTGAAATTTTAAACAAAATGCACAATGCAGCTGCTTTCATTCAAAACTGACAAGCCATTACGATTCACTGATCATGCTAATATATTGATTATTATGTATAACAGCTTTCACTAGTGTTTCAGTCCAGACACATGCATAAAATCGGAGCGTAAGAAACCATTTGTATTGACGATCATTTGGTGTCACTCCCAATCAGCTCCCCTACATCAAGTATTCACGACAATGGTTAACCCATCAGTTTCTTTTAACAAAATTTATTAAGTAAATTTAACTTCATTCACAGGAAGTGACTCAAATTTGTTGATTTTAATAGTTTCTTTTTCTTCACATGAATTATATCATCATTTGAAAATTACATATTGTAGTTACTCTGGGTTGGGTTGTCCGGGTTAAAATTTGATTCTTGAGCCGACATGTTAAATTGTGACAAAACATCAGAAACAGAAGTGATCGTTAGGGGGGCACAAACTTTTTCACACCACTGTAAAAGCCTCAGGGTCCTTTAATCCTCTAGCCAAAGTCACCTGCTTGCTTTGACTTCAGACTAAGCTGCTGACTTTGATTAGAGTTTAACTCTGCTTGGCAATACGGGCAACTATACTGGCTTTGGTGGACGAAAGGGAAAAAGGGACATAAGGACAGACCGGGTATGTTTTCCATAGAAATGTTGTCACATTTATAGGCTTGGAAATAGCAGCGGAGTGACTTCACCGCATTCCTCCGTTTTTACAGTTCCCAGAATCTATTGCTCACTTGCTAAAGGTAGCCAGTGAGCTTTGCTGCTAAAATTCACCGCTCGGGGTGTTCAGGAGGGAGCCGCCAAATGACAGGAGCAGCCAGTGAGATCATAAAACATCTCAACTGTGTAAAAGACAAATTGACAAACCAGCACAGATCGTATTTAAGGTCACAGCGGAGTTACCATATGGCCCCTAGCGCGCTCTGCACATGAGAACGGGGCCCTGAGAAACACAAGACTGTCAAAACCTCATGCTCAAGGTGCCAGACCCCCTCTGTAGATCATGGTAAACACTGAGGTCAGGAGGTTTTTTAGGGCTGCAGCTCACGATGTCTGTGACCGGCCAGCATTTTTTTCTTTTTTCGGTCAAGCAAACCTCCGAGCGCTACTGGCTGTAAAAGCAGTTGATGTGTTAAGAGGTGCTTGGGGTTTCGGCTCCTTCTGTGATTGCGTACGAGGAGCTCGACATGCTCGCCGGGGTCCAGGTGGATCTGTTTACGCACCTATGTGTCCTTTGGCAGTTGCTAGCGTTAATGGGCCTTGGATCCACCCCGCTGCTGTGTGGGAATGAGGGAGCAGTAGCCTGGCCAGGGGTGGCAGATATAACAGTGTCATTAAAAAAACAGCACAAGGCCCCTTATGTGTGTCTCCGTGTGAGAGTGAGCGATTTTTGTTGGCAGCAGAGGCTGGAAATGGGCCTGTAACACCCTCCGACCAATTCCAGCTTCTTTACACACACTCTCACACATGCACACGCACGCACACACGCAAGTGGCCATGCAGGCAACTCACTGCCACTGCAAAAATACCCCTGCAGGTGATTAGGACACTAATCATCTGGCCTTCATTAGGCCATTCCATGCAGCGCTCTTCGTCACAGAACACCAAAGCATTTATGGGTTACAAGAAATAAATGCGGCGTGTATTTGTCATGAGGTTCAAGTAGGTTATTGTTTTTTTGTTGTTGTTGTTTTTTTTTTCCATTTTACGTTTATTCGGCCAGAAAAAGCTTTATGAGATTAAAAATGGATGGTTCATATCCATCTTGCAGCTTGAGTGGACAAAGTTCCCGATCTCCTCGTCTACATGGGAAATGTCTGGACACTTTTCTGCTCGAAAAGCCTAAGCTTTGTTGTCAACAGGTCCCTTTGTTTACAGGAAATTTTTTTTATGGGGTTAATAATTTTGGAAGGATTGCAGAGAAAACGCATCCCTACTAACGCAAGGGAACTGCGCAGCGTTTCATCTGAAGTGTTGTCGATTCTGAGCAGAAACCGATTGTTTGGAGCATCAGCAACCGCCAACGAGACTTCACCTGCTGAGTTGTTTAATAAAATTTAAAAGGGGCAAGCCTTTGACATTTTCATCGACCTCTCATATGTGCTCCTCTTCACTTCAGAAAAATAACAGGGATGCCTTTACTGCGATGACAGGAACTAGCAAAACGGACAAGTTGGAGCAACATCAAGCCTGGGAAAAACGGTCCAGCTCTTCATCTTGGTTTTCTCGCTAATTGGCTCTCCAGTTGTGTGCATTTATTTATAAAATACCAGACTCATATTCTGTAAATGACCTGTTATGTAGCCCAGATATTCTGACATCAAAACCAGTGATGACACCGTGATGAACCCTGGATTCTGGCTCTGCCTACTTCTGTTTAAACTCCACTTTGGAGATTCCAGTGTGAGAAGGAAATGAAAAGGGAAATTCATTTTATTGCCTTTACCGTTTTTTATGTTTGGTTTATATATTCCTGGTCCCTGAGTGAGTTTCCACACTGATCTGTGCTACCTGTCTCTCATCTCTTGGTCTTTGGAAGTCTCTTGTTTGGGTTCAGGCCCTGTTTGGCTTGGCAGAGGGGACTGTCTGGATTCGTCACAGGCTCTAATGTTCTTGCCATGCCACACGCTCCACATCCACTCCCTGCAATAACACGGCAAAAAAAAAAAAAATCCCAAGCCCTTCACTCATGTGCGAGTCTCAACTCCGAGACGTTGTCTCCAATCATGATTTCTGATTAGTTAAGGAACAAAGACAGTGAAATTCCTCTCAAGTTTCCGAACTCAAAAGGAATATCGTCTAATCAGTTTCCACTGCGGCCTCGGGTGATTGGCCTATCATTGTTACCATCAGCGGTTTATCATCCCTTGACGAGAAGGGAATCCTACGTTTCAGTAAGTGGTGAGCTCAATAGTTTGGGCAGAACCACCACAGACTGGAGGGAGTCATGATCCAAAGTGCTTTAATCTGTTCAGCAGACACAGACTGCAGGACTCCACTATCCCCGCTCTCCTAATCTATGTATATTACTGTTAATTTATGGAGCTGCGATTTGTTTATGGACTGGTACGGCAAGACCGATGGCAGCTTATTCAGAATCTTCAAAGCCGAGGTTCACTCAATTCTCTGTATTTTCATTTGGATAAGATTATCCAAAGAATAACACTCTTGTGTTTAACCCACATTTCTCTCACTGCCCACTTATTGTTTCATCATCTCCGTGTCCACACCACTTTTAGGTCACTGAGCTCTAAATCAGGTGCAGACAGTGGAAGTCTGGCCACCTGACCAAATATAAATCTGGAAAGCACAAATTGATTGCATGATGGATAAAATACAATAATACATTTCCAAGCATTGCGGATTTCTCTCTGAGTTAGTTTAAAGTTTGTTTCATAACTTTGCTTTTTTGCAGAACCTGCGAAGGGCAGAATATCAAGTACCGCACATGCAGTAACGTGGTAAGTTCCCTTCACTGTATGTTGCTGCTTTTACTTTGGAAAAGAAAAAACTGAAGATTGGGAAATTGAAAATGTAAAATTTCATACACAAGTGGAGTTTGTCATCTGCGATCTTGTTGCAAAACAGACCAAGCTCACCTTATCCCATTGCTTGAAAACATTACTATACAGATATTTACCTCGTTATATTTTTCACATTGTTTATGACCATGGTAAGCAGCTTAAAACCTTCTTCGGTGTCTCCGTTAGGACTGTCCGCCAGACGTCGGGGACTTTCGTGCTCAGCAGTGTTCAGCTCATGCAGACGTGCGACACCAGGGTCAGTTCCATGACTGGCTGCCTGTTTACAATGACCCAGAAAATCCTTGTTCGCTCAAGTGCAAAGCCAAAGGCTCGGGCTTTATGGTGGAGCTGGCACCCAAAGTGCTGGACGGAACGCGCTGTTACACCGAGTCCTTGGACATGTGCATCAGCGGAGTCTGCCAGGTGAGAGGAAGCATCAGAGAGCTGAACCGACTTTTTGTCCTGAAATGCTCTGGCTTACTTGTTTTTATTTAGCTAAAATCCAAATTGTGGACCTGGGACTGTTGATCATGTAAAAAAAGTTCAAAAGAAAGTAAAATCTGACATAGGAAAATCAAGACTTTTGTTCAATTTGAGTTTAATTATTCACAAACATATATCATGTGAAGAAAAAGTTACAAATGTTTTCATGTCGGACCCAACAGGGTGTATGTATTTACTGTTACGTTTTGTACATTATGGACATAATAGCCAGTTCATTCAGTTGCTTCCACTGATTTTCTTTTCCTTTATTATACACAAATCTCTAGTGGGTTACATAATCTATTACGGTGTAGGTATTCTGCAGTGTTTTGCTCTCAAAAACATGTTTACTTTTCATTACTGGTCTATTGAAAAGCTTTATCAAAGCTACAGTCGCAAGATTTACTGGTTTAGTTTCATTATTTCTTTTAACAAGCCTTTTACTACATACTGTGGTTCAATAATAAATATTTTCAGAGCTTCAAACGTTTAGATTGCATTTACCATTTCCTTCCACAGTCCTGATTATGGTCGTCCCAAACAATCTTTGTAGATTTGTTGGAGAAATTAGCTAATTTTTGACACTAGACTAGCATCCAAAAGTCTTTGCCTGCTGCCATTCCCAAGCAACTGGTAACAACAAAACACCTTTGTTAAATCACCTTCAGGAGGCGGTCCTTCCACTTCCTGAACTTTCTTGGCTACGCAGAAACTTTCTTTTCAGCAACTGAACTCTTTGCACTCTTCAACTCCTTGGAGTTCTTGCTGGCTTGATAAATGGTTGGCTGGGTCATAACGTCACAAACAGCTATATCCTTGTTTCTGAAGCGACAATGGGAGGGTGTGTTTCTTCTGAGGTGACTATGGTTCATTTCAATCATCGCTTCCATTCGAAGCATATTTCTTCCTCCAAAATGTCAAACTGAACCCCAAAAAAACGTGCGATCACGTGAGGGGAAAAAAAAAAAAAAAAAAAAAAAGGTAAATTAGGGGAAAGTCTCATTTGGGCTTTTAATAGGGTTCCTCTTTTTTTAAA